TAGTTTTTTTTTTATTAGTTATTGTTGCTAATTTCCCAATTTAAAAGGTGGATATCATATCAGAAGGGTTCGTCCAAAGTATCATCATCAATTAGAAAACACAATGGGAAGAAGTAATAAAATACATTAAAGTGTCTGCCTCACTATTTTTTTACATACTTTAATATTACACTCTCTTTCTAATTATTACGAGTACCAAATCCCAACGCACCCTCATTTCTTTTACCGCCCAGAGCAACATGTTCTCTATTTTGCTGTGAGTCTTGTACTATTCATTAATCATATTATAGAAATACATCCAAAATATTTTGCATCAATTACTTTCATGGGGTAGTAAAGAACCATTATGCATGAGAAAAAATACCAGTAACGTACTTTTCTATCTAGTTCTGTATTTTTTTGGTCGCACTAGTAATATATTGTTCTTTTAAAATAGGTTGTAACTACGAGATTAAAAAGTTTCATAAAAAAAAAAAACTAAAAAATTAAAACAGTTTTTTCTTTTGGGTGAATTAGGTCAATAATACTTTATAACTAAAAATGTTAGTGGATGATCTAGTTGATGATTAATTAGTTTCAGTAGCTAAGAAAAATAAAAAGTTAACGAAAATGCCTTTATGACACACTATCAACCAATATGACACATCTGACATAAATTAACTGTTTTTTGTTTTTATTTTTGTTTTAAATCATTTTTTTTTTCATCAAGTAATTTTTCCATTTAGTATTTGTTTGATATAATAATTTTTTTAAAAGTTGAATCATCTCATAATCTATATGTTAAAAAAATAAAATTTTCTTACACATATATTACAATTTGAAATTTTAAAAATTGACATAATTTACTAAAACTATCTATATAATGTTACAAGAAAACGTAATATATCATATAATATGTCATTTTACTATATAATATAACATAGTATTTCATACTAATATATAATATGTTATATATGTTTATATTATATTAATTATGTTATATGATAACATGGTATAACATACTAGGTAACATATCATATTCATCATGCTATAAACAATCTTCAAAACATATTGCTATGTTTACTCGTAGATAGCATATCATATAATAATACCATGACATACCGTATTAATATATAACATGCTATATTCTATATAACATATTATACCATACAAAAGATAGACCGTATATAGTATATTATATTATGTTTTATTATCAGATTATAGAATAGTCTGGTTAATCATAAACATAATAAAATCTGATCATCAATACTTTTGGATGTAATATCATTTTTAGGTTATGGTATGTCATATTACATATATGAATAATATATTATGATATGTCATATATAATGTTACATTATATGAATAGTTTCTGCAATATATGTTGATTTTTAAAATTTCAAATTTTTATATATGTAGATCAAACAAAAATCAAATGAAAAATAAAATTATGAAAGAAAAAATATATTTGTTTATTTTTAAATTAATGGTATGTCATAATTTGGCTAACACAATCTAACATAAAACTGTCTAATCATCATGTTTTTCATTAAATCAGAAAGATATTATGGTCATTTGGCATACTATATACTTAATATTTTCTAAAATAGATTACATTGCTAAATACCATACATTGGCATGTCATATGGCGATATTTCCCCTTTCTTTTACAACTTGTGACATAAGCTCATTTGTAATTCCTATTACAAGGCGATTACTATTGAAACATAGTGGGATGAAACTATTAATGAGTAGTTTCTCAAAAAAAAAAACTATTAATGAGTGCCATTAGCCTAATATTCCTATGAGTTTTGATTATATTCTGAAATATATATATATATTTTGAAATATTTAAACAATACTGCCTTTTCATTTATTTTTTTGCTGTTTGATGTTGCCTACTACTAAGACCATCTCCATCCCAAATTTTCAAGAGATTATCAATACATTAAAAAAATAAAAAAAAGGTAAAGAACCGTATCATAAACAAGAGATTCTATAGACTCCATTAGATACCTTTTATCCACATGTAGTTTGTCAATTAGTTTAAATTTGTTTATTTATTATATAAATTAATTATTTTCAAATATTAGCATTATATTAATATTATATACACTAGATACTTTTTTGAGTGACTCAATCTCGTATATGGTACTCAAGAAACTAGCACACCGTCAAACTCTTGGTATGCAACAAGTAGCATAAGAGGGGAAAAAAACTAGTAGCAATTTTGACGGTGCTACATAGCCCGAATACACCCGTGCTAAAGGCGAATAGTACTCATCGTACGGCTGGTATTTCAACATGTTAACACATCTCTAGCTAGCACATGAGTTTAACACACAACATATCGTATTTTAAGACATGTACATACTGCAAGACATATTTAACATGTAGGATTATAGTCCAAAAGAAGCAAACAAATTTCTAATGGTTGGTCCCCATACAAAAATAAAACTACCATAAAAATGTGTTGTTTAGTGTTTTCTTGAACTTATTATTGTAGATTTGAATCTGGATTGTTATGCAATAACAGTTAATATTCACCACTATGTTGCATGTCATGTTTACTTTCTAATTTGTCACTGTAAATTTTTTTTAGTCCAACAATGTATAGCGGCCAAACAAAAATTACTTGTTATTTATTGCCGAAAAAGTAATACATTATAGTCCATAAGTATTATATATCAAGACATATGTATTTTCGGTTATAAAAATAATGACAGGGTTATAAATTTATTGCATATTTCGTATATTTATCTGTCTTTAACAACATCTTACGTGATAAATTGTACTACTCCATTTATGTATATATATTCTTATGTATAATTTAAAAATCTTAAAATTCCGCACATATGTACACTGGTAATAAATAAATAAAAAGATTTCACGTGGATTTGTTTTCGGAACCTTCATGTCATCATCCTACTGAGAGTCACGAGTGGCACAAGATCTTTGATCGATTTTTCGCAGATTGCAGTCCAAAAAATCAACGTAGACATTAGAAAATATAGTAATACTGTATATATTCAATCATAATTCTCGATATAGCCAAAAGATTGTTGCGATAATATGTGGCGTAGTTTCAAGAACTAATTATTACTCTAAAATGGTACCCCACTTTTCTTTCTCAACAAAAAAAAAATTACTCTGAAATGCTTTAGTTTTGTAGTCGTTTTGTAAACCGAACCTCATGCATCGAATCATATATCATACGTTACATAATGTAAAAATATATATATGAACTATACGTTAGTATGGTACGTTACATTCAGTTTATTTTTATAAATTACTTTAGTGGGCAATAATAAAGATATAATATTTCATTGTATTGCTAGTAATTTTGTAAGATAAGTTGATCGACGAATGAAAATATGCTTTACAACTATACAGTTTCTTTTCTTTTGACAATTCACAAGTATACAATTGTAATAATCAAACACAAAAGGTAATATATAGTTGTGGTATCCGAAGAATATATAATAATTTATGAAACATCATTTTGCATAAACATTCTACCATTGTTGTCATTACACTTGGTTTAAAAACAGACAAGAAGATCCCGAAGCTTAAGAAAAGAGGTTAAAAAGCACAAACCCAATAATGTATTGACACGTCGGTAATAGGTAGAAACTGATAGTCAACGTGTCAATACATTATTGGTACCGTGGCATAATACGTAGTTAAAAAGGAAAGTTGCATTCCCCTAAACAAACGGAGTTTACACTTATCGCTAGTAGTGGTGGTTATGGTAATCACGTGAGGCACGTGACCCATTACGACGTACGAGTGGTGACTCCTGGAGGCCGGCACGGCGGTTGACGGCGGCGGAGAAAACTCCGTCCCATATCTCAGAGAAAGCTCTGATGATTATGCCGTGATGGTAAGGCTCATTGAGGGAGAGGAAACAGTGAAGAAGCTCTCTAAGATCGTCTTTAGAGTAAATCTCGTTCTCGAGAATCATTTGAAGCATTGACTGACGGAAATCAAGGTAAGGGTCGTCGGAATCTTTCTCGATGGCGACGGCGGCGGTGGAAGGTGTGGCGGAGGAGGAAGAAGTGTCTGAGAACCAGTTAGTGGTGGAGGGAATAGCGGAGGAGGATGAGGCGGTTGTGGTGGTGGAGGAGTGGCATTGGCCGTAATAAGAGGAGGAGAATCGGGGCTTTTTGGGGAAACGGTTGAAAAAAGAAGACAAGCTTGGGAACTTACAGTTGCTGCATCCGATGTTGTCTACAACAGAGACTGCCTTAAGGACCATCTTCTTCTTCTTGCTTTTGCCCGTCATTGTTGTCTCTTTGCGACTCTCTCTGACTCTAAAGAGAAAATACAAAATTGTATCTGATTTGTGTGTGTGAGAGAGAGAGAGACTACTTGGATTGGTATTAAAGGGTGCATGTGGGGACTGAGATGGATTAATGAAGAGAAGTAAACTCTTAGCAATAGTATTTAATTTGATGTTCAACAACAAGTTTTTAAATTTGGTGAACGTTTTTTAAAACATAATGATATGTCTACATGCATGAGCATTAATTAGACGTAGACATACTCAATTACTCTACTGATTCTGTAATTTAGGTTTAAACAATGTAGAGTTATTTGAGTTAATTATAATAAACTACTTCATGGTGTCCGATATTTGATAATTTATCATTTGCCTCAAAACTATTGATTCAAGTTTCCTATAACCGTTTTAATAGTTGGTGATTGTATATGTTTAAACTAGCAAAAAAAAATGTTTAACTCAAAATATAGTATGCATTTTGCAGTCCAAATCCCATTATAAAAAACATGAATTATAGAATCGTCGATGTAACAATTCATAATAATAAAAATCCAGTGTTAAAAAAAAAACGTTAATTATAACATATACTTTCTACATTTTGTTAATTAAAGAGTTTGGTGTTGGAACTTATATATCTTTCTATCGAGACCGAAATGCCTCCCAACCAATTAGGTTTACTCTCTACGTTTCACATTAAAATATGGGACAATTACAAAAATGCTACTTTTTGTGTTCACATTTGCAAGAATGCCACTTAGGGGTGTCCATTTGCAAAAATGCCACTAATTATAGATTTATAAACCCTATATCTTAAAATTCTAAACCCTAAAAAATGTTTTGACCCCTAAAACCCCTTAAACCCTCATAACTAAATCCTAATAGAACATAATTAACCCAAACATAAATAATATAAAGAAAAAATAATTTTGAAAAAGTGACATTTTTGTAAAAATTACAAAAATGTGGCATTTTTGTAAAGTGGCACTTGAAAAGTGGCATTTTTTAAAATTTCTCTTAAAATATCGGTTTAAAACTATTTTAGATCTAATAGACCTTCTTGGTAGTTTTAAATGGATTTGTACTGGACCTTCTTCAGCTTGATGAGCCCAAATAATTTGTCACTCATAATTTAAGCCCAAAGCCCAAATCAACAATTGACTAAAGAAAAAGGAACAAGAAAAAAACGTGGAAAGAAGAAAACATTTACAACAAAGGAAAACAATTGAAGTGGAGAATGAGTGAATCATGTGTGTGATTGAAAGACTCCAAACAAGGTAAGAGAAGAGTGTTAGCTGTTGAAGAGGAGGCTTGGATTCGTTTCTATACAATTTCATAGATGAGAAGAGAATATCTCTAATTGTTTACCAACAAAGGTAAAAAAATTTGCATTCCCAAAACTTAAAACTTTTTAAATACACTTAATCTAATGGTGTGGACTGTAAACACTTCTTATGCATATATATTGTTCGATGATCGATGTACTAACAGTTCTCATTAATAGTTTTGTTAACTTTTAACATAATTAATATAATGGTAAGTATATATTTTAACAAATATGTAAAGTGGGGATATTCCAATTGAACCATTGACTCTGTCCCTGGCCCATAAAATGTTGCCATTTTGACTAGGTTTGCCTGAAATAATAAATAAAAAAGAAGACTAGAGATGCTTTAGTTATCCATTTGGATGAAGATGTTTAGGTAGAATTTTCATGGATTTCAATTGTTTTAGTATTTAAATAAATTTATTTATACTATTTTATAGAATTTCAACTCTCTTTTTTACGGACAGTGGAAGAATATAATTATTGGATTTTATTAAGTGTGAATTGAGTCAAAGTTAGATTTTGATTCTTGAAGGACTATATATTGTAAATTCATATGAAACTTCGGACAGTGTTAAATAACGAGAATAACCTTCAAAAAACAATTATAGGAGATAACGGTCAAACGGTAAACTCGTTCCTCAAACCCCAAAATTCAAGTAACGTCTGTGGCAAGAAAATTAGAACCG